GTCAGTTACATTTCTATACACTGGTGATGAATAATCTAAAAAGAAAACTAAGTGAACAATTTCATTTATAATAGCATCAAAAAGTAAAAAACGCTTCAGAGAAAATTGAACCATTGAGATGAAAGACTTATACACTGAAAGTTATAAAACATTGCTGAAAGAAATTTAAAAGGACATCAATAAATGGAAATACATCTTGTGTTCATGGACTAGAAGAATTAATAATCTTTTTTTAGGGCTGGCTGTGTGGCTCAGTTGGTTAAGAGCTCGCTCAAGAGTTTGAGCTCTGAGCAACAGCGGTTCGAGTCCAGCCTGAGCTGAGCAGCCGCTGAGCTGCCAATAGGTAGTAGGATGGCTCAGCTAAAAAAACAAATAAACAAACAAAAACAAAAAACAAAAAAACAGATTGAAATTTTAAATCCCTACCAGAGGAGGAAGATTCTAAGCTCAGGACCTTTGCACATGCTGCTCACTGTCAGGAAGGCTCTTCCCCCAGGAAACCACATGGCTCACTCCCAACCTTTTTTTAATCTTGGCTCAAACTTCCCTTCTCAGCGATGTTCACTCAACTACTCTGTTCAAAATACATCCCACCTTACAGATTCCCCAATTTTCTTTTCCAGAGATATTTTAATGTTCTCCTTAACACATCACTTTTCAGTATACTATATTAGTTACTTATTTATTATGTCTGTTGTTTACTCTCATTTTCCCCGTAGAACATGGGCTCCATGAGGGCAGCTACTTTGTCTCTTTTATTCACCAATGCACCCGAGTTCCTATCACAGTTCTTGGCGCATAGTATGTATCCAATAGGCATTTATATGATGGGTGAATTTCCCAGTGCAATATCCCTGAGGCCCTGAAGCCCATTTTAAATGGTAAATCTGTGAGAATTATGTGAGAAACTGAGTTTCCCAACTAAATGACTTTGTAAAAAACAAGCATTTGTTTAGATGCAGGAAGCAGAAGAGCCCAGGAGCAGAAAACCACAAATGTTCTTCCCACACCCACCCTTCCCCACACCCATCAGCACAAGCAGCAGAAATCACATCGGTTGAAAATGGGGTAATTGTTCAACCCCTGAGCTGTAGGACCAGAGTCCATGTGTTCAGATCATACCTCTGCCATCTTCCATGGAGTGACCTTGAACCTCTCTGTGCTTCTGTTTTGTTTTCTGTAGGTGGGAGTGACAAGAGGATCTACCTTAGATATAATGGTCCTATGAGATAACAGCCCTGAGCATTTCCAATCGTGTCTGTACATAGTGAGTTTCAAGAAATTGATAAGTTATTACTCATTATACTTTCTGGATCCTTGAGGCTTTAACTGACATTAGATGATATAAATTATAGACATAGATATAGATGAGATAGAGATAGAGATAGAGATAGATGATATAGATATAGATATACATATGAACTTGAATATGAATATAATACAGATGTAAATCATAAGTGATCTGACAATTAAGTTCTCAAACTTGTTGCAATGATGTTGCTAATTTTTTTTGATATCAGAGGAATTATTCATTATGAATTTGTACCAACTGGAGAAACAGTTAACCAAGTTTACTATTTGAAAGTGCTAAATAGGTTGCATAAAAAAATTTAGTGACCTGAACTTTTTGCCACAATTCGTGGCTCTTGCGTCACAACAATGCACGGGCTCACACGGCGCTGCCTGTGAGGGAGTTTTTAGCCAGTAGCAAATACTGTATTGGAATAGCCTCCTTACTCACATGATCTGGCCCCCAGTGATTTCCTTCTTCACCCAAAGATAAAGGAAATATTGAAAGGAAGACATTTTGATGACATTCAGGACATCAAGGGTAATACGACAACAGCTCTGTTGACCAACCCAGAGTAGAGTTCCAAAATTGCTTTGAAGGGTGGACTAGGCGCTGGCATTATTGCATAGCTTCCCAAGTGGAGTACTTCAAAGGTGAACATAGTGATATTCAGCAATGAGGTATGTAGCACTTTTTCTAGGAGGAGTTTGCGAACCTAATTGTCATTCTTCATACATGCAGTAGTCCCTGTATCTTTTACCTCCTCTTTTCTCCTCATCTCTATCCAGCACGAAAGAGGGATTCCAAGATACTAATGCACAAAATTCTAGTCATTTTACCAAGAGAGAAGCTTGCTTGTCTTAAGAATCTGAGAGAGGATAGGGGTAAATTTACACAAGTAAGAAGGAGGGAGCGTGGCTGAGAAACACAAGAACTAAACATATGTCCTTGTGTGTTTCATGTAGACTGAAAAATGATTTGAAGAGAACAATAGGAATGCATTTTCAAACAGCCCGTGTGTGTGTGTGTATGTGTGTGCGCACTTCCTCACACTCACTACACTCATACATACACACACATAAATACATGCGTTGACAAATACCTATAAAACTGTATCATAGCATGCTAGTATGCAGGTTGTTTTAATGATTAAATAAAATTATAGTACAATTAAATGCTCAATGAAAACAATGATACATGGGAACCACCAATGCATCATTAATAAAGGTTCACGACTACACACAGCACGATTTGAACTCTGGTATCTGTGAGTGGCCTGATGGGTGGTGACAATTCTTTTATTTGCTTATCTGTGTTTACTAGTTCTCTGCACTCTTTCTCCACTGAGAAGTCCAGCAGCATATCATAGTTAAAAAACGAACTCTGGAGCTGGTCAGCCTGGGCTTGAATCCTGGGTGAACCACTGCCTTACATAGGTGACATTGGACAAGTTACTCTCTCTGCCTCAGTTTCCTCATCTGTAAATTGGGGAAAAGAGACATAAATATCACACAGGGATGTTGTGGGGATTAGATGAGCCAGTCCACACAAAGTTGTCGCTGTTGTGGTTTGAAGCATCATCTGTTTTGATGCCTGTGGAACCAGGTGCAGTTCATGGAGACAATGGTCACATCTCCTATTTCATGCTCTCAGATAATGCCTAGTCCTTGGCCTTCTGTGGCAGCCCCGAATGACACACCCTTGTTTTCCCTGAAGCTCTAAAATTCCAGGGCTAGGAGGTGGTTAAGGAGCAGGGGAGGGAATTCTAAGCCAAGGAGTGCTCACCTGTGAGTCCCAGCAGTACAGTCAGCAGCAGGCAAGAAGGAGGGTGGGCCCAGGAGGCAGGGGTGGTCATCCTGGAGGCCTGAGCAGGCGGCTCTGTCTTCGTGTTGGCTGGGAGATCCTGCACTTTATGCCCTGTGAGAGGAGTGAAGCCCCGCCTCCTGTGATATAAGAGGAAGGGCCAGGATGGGCTGAAATGCCTGTGAGACAGAAGCCTGCTTCCAGATTCTAGGCATTTCCTGCTTCTAGATTGTGAAATAGAACCAGGCAGTGAAGGCAGCTATGTTGTGAGGAGTTACTCATCTTAATGGTTTCAGAGAGAGAGACTTGCACAGGCCCACAGGAAATGGTGCTTCCTCTCTGCTTGGAGCCTCTGCTCTCTACTGGGCCGCTCACCCCATCTGAGGTCTTCATGGTGACGCCCCAGTTGGGAGCCCAGGTCAAGAAGGATCTATGGATGTGGGCTGTGTCCCAAACTTGCAAGCACAGGACCCTAGGATGTGGCCGGCTTGTGGCCTCATCTGCACCAGTCTCACCAAGAGCTACTCAGCTGGAAGAAGGAAGATTGTTCACTTGGGCTCAATGTTGGAGGGAACCAGGTGTGCCCCTTGAAATGACTCCTTATTCTAACCATTTATTGGTGGACCTGGTAAAACTTAGCCCAAATGCAAGTGCAGTGTGGACCTCAGAACTTTAAGTACCTGCATCCAACAAAAGAAATCATGTCCTGACTTCTTTCAGGAGAGGAAGTGAGTTATATGACCCAGCAATTACACTCCCAAGGAAATTACACTCTCAGAGAAGTAAAACCATGTCCACACTGTTTATAGCAGTTCTCCTTGTAATAGCAGAAACCTGGAACAACCCTAATATCCAATAATAAGTGAATGGTTAAACAACGGTGGTACATCTATATAAGACAATACTCAACAACAAAAAGGAATTATTTACATGTGTAAGAAATTGTAAGTTTCTCCAAGGCATTGTGTTGAGTGAACTAAAACAATCTCAAAATGTCACATACTGTACCACTCCACATATATTTGATTCTCAAAATTATAAAAAAGAGAGCAAATTGACTTTTGCAAGGGATTTAGTATGGTGGGGATGGGGTCACTCTAAAGCGCTGGCACAGGGGGATCTTTTTGGTGGTCAAGTTTTGGGGGGAGAAATCTAGAGGTTTTTCATATCTCAACTGTTGGAGGCTTCCAATTCTTGTCTAAAAGCACCTAATAATTTTGCATGGCCAAAATGCTTTAGAGTTTAAAACAGTGGTTACATTTTCAGTTTTTATTTTGGCAACTATAAAATTTATTTTCACAAAATAAAAAGAAGCAGTGATCATCTACTCTCACTATTATTTCACAACAATAAAAAGTCTTAATGTCAAAAACATATAATAAAGAATGATCCTTTAAATGAGATAGTTTGGGGTTTTTCTTTGCCCAGCTTTATTGAAATATAGTTGACATGTAACACTGTATTCGTTTAAGTGTACAGCATAATGATTTGGCATATGTTTACATTGCAAAATAACTAGCACAATAAGTTTGGTTAACAGTCATCATCTCACATACTACAAATATTTTTCTTACGATGAGAACACTTAAGATTTACTCTTTAGCAAGTTTCAAATGTATGACACAGTATTGTGAACTACAGTCACCATGTAATAGTACATTCCATCCCCAGAACTTATTTATGCTGTCAACTGGAAGTTTGTACATTTGACCACCTTCACTTATTTACCCAAGCCCACCATCTGTGCCTAGTAACCACCAATCAATTCTCTGTTTCTATGATATTATTTTTTCAAGATTCAACAGGTGAGATTACACAGTATTTGTCTTTCTCACTGTGACTTATCTCACTTAGCAAAATGCCCTCAAGGTTCATCTATGTTGTTGAAAATGGCAGGTTTTCCTTCTTTTCTATGGTGGACTAATATTCCTGTGTGTGTGTGTGTGTGTGTGTGTGTGTGTGTGTGTGTGTATCCACATTTGCTTTATACATTCATAGAATGATGAACACTTAGGTTGCTTCCATGTCTTGACTATGGTAAAAATTGATGACATGAACAATGAGATGCAGATATCTCTTTGAGATAGTGATTGTTATGTCCTTTGGTTATAGACCCACAAGTGGAAGGTAGATCAATTTTTAATTTTTTGAAGACCTGCCGTACTGTTTTTTATAGTCACTGCACCGTTCATCTGGTTGGATGTATTCCACTGCCCTGTCTTTGCGTTCCCTGATCCTTTCTTCTGCTTCATTGAGTTGCTGTTAGAAACTTTCTATTGAATTTTTTTATTTCAGTGACTGTATTCTTTACCTCTGTGATTTCTGTTTGGTACTTTTTTATAGTTTATAATCTCTGTGTTGAAATTCTCACTTTTTTCATGCATTGTATTCCTGGCCAGGTGAGATCTTTATGGACATTTTCTAACACTCTCAGGGAAATGACTTATCTTCATTTCATTTAGGTATATTTCAGGAGTTTTATCTAGTTCTTTTGTTTGGAACATATTCCTCCATTTCTTCATTGTCCTCGGCTCTCTGTGTTGGTTTCTGTGCATCAGATAGAAGAGCTGCTTCCCCCAGCCTTGATGCAGTGGTCTCCTGTAGGAGGTGAATCTCATCATCCAGCCCTGCTCTAGCTCTTGGTTGTCTCCCCAGACTTTGTGAGGTCCAAGCTGCCCTCCTTGTTCTCAGTGGCTCCCACCAGTGGAGGTTTCCCAAGGCTTTTCAGTGTCCCAAGGGAAGGATCTTAATCAGCATCTAGTTGCAGGCTGATTGGAAGCTGGTGCCTCAGACAGCAGCTTTTGAAGTGTGCAAATAGACCTCTTTCAGGGAAAGACTGGGAGATGGGAGTGTTTGACTGCTGTCTCTGAGCTAAGCCTTTACAGAATAGCCACTTAAGAATTGTTTTTTGTTTGCTACAGTCCTGTGTGATCCACAAACACAAGCTTCACTGGCCACCAGGCAACCAATGGGTGCATCCTTTGAGCAGCTGATACAAAAGCTGTGGCACCAACTGTGTGCACAAGGTCCTTTCAAGGAGAAACCAGAAAAAAGATTTATTTATCCAGCTGCCAAATGAGGAGACTGGAGACAAGGCTTTCATCAGTGTCCCCAAATAAAGACTTAGAGGAAATTTAAAGAACCATGGTAAAAAGAAACTATATGTATTCATCAATTCTAATTTGGGAGACTTGATTGGACAATCTTGGAACTAAATCATCTAAGAAATGGGGAAGGTGAGAGAAAGTGTAAAAAATTTCTAAGTTGGCAAGGTGTTTGGGTGGGATCTAGGTGCCTGGCTAAGCGCATATATCTGAGCACTCCTCACTTCTGAATATTGTCCACAAGGACCAGTCCTGCATACAGTTTATGACAAGGGGAATATTTTGGTACAGACCACCTATCGGGAATAGTTGCAGTTCATTTGGTGGCTTCTGTGCCTGTGTAATCCTCTGGGAGTGAGAAATCAGGCTTTGTCTGGTCTTGTGGTCTCCAGGGCTCTGTGAGGAAGCCGGCTGTTATCTCCTACAAAGAAAAAAAACCTATCAGAGTCTGATTTCAATGTTGAAGTCCGGTTTCAATTATGTTAGGATTTGTTCTAGCTTTCCCTCATTCTAGTAAGAATGTGCCCAACTTTGAAGCAAATATTGCTCTTGCTGTGTTTTAAGAGATTCTTGGATCCAGTTGCCAGCCTACAAAGGGGGAATTTTCCCAGAAAAATCTTTAGGCAACCAGGCCACTAGAAAAACTGTCAATGTCATTACTCACAAGTGCTGGAAAATATAAATGGTATACGTTCCTCAATAAGCAAAGAATCAAAAAGTTGTATATCATACAAAATTTTCTCCCAGACCCTGTGTGCTCTTCCACATTGCTCTCTGCTTTAAAGCCACCACAATCCTGTGCGGTAGCATGATTCCTATTTTATATATGAGACAATTGGCTCATAGTAAGGTAATGAGTTACCCAAGGTCACATACTTAGCTGGTATATATTTTCCAGTATCTGAACCCAGGTCTCTACCTTACAAGACCTCAGAGGAAAAAATCTCTGCTCTGATTTGTCTAAAGAACTTTGAACACATCCATACTCAGTGTCTGATGGATCACAGGATTATACGGTCTTTAATGGACAATTTTGTCCAGAGATTCCTGAGGTTGGACATTGTAGGCAAACAAAATTATTGAAAAATAATTATATACTTTATTCTTCCAGGAAACTATTTTCAAGTAGCCTGTCAGTTACTGTAAATACCATTCCACTGAAGAAAGAATATTTAAACACCAGGAAAATAGAAACAGAATAATTCATTTCTTCATTCATTCAACACATATTGAGTTTCTATTTTGAAAAATCATTTAAAGTCTCTAAAAATATTATTTAAAGTATATAGTAAGTGAAAAAACATTTCGTCAAGAAAATCTACTAAAGCAGGCAAGAAAAGTGAGAGTATCAAGATCCTCTTGCCTCGCCCTTTCCAGCTCAAGACAAACTCCACCCAGGCTGGTGCAGCCCCGAACACAGGACTGCCTCCTGCCCCAGCTCCCAGTTGAAATATAATTTCAGGAATTCTCAGCTTACTTGAAATTACTGTTCCCCAGCTACATATCCTTAAAGAGCTACCAAAAAGATATAAAAAGACATATCCATCATTGAGCCAATGCCAAACTTAATGTGATACCTCACTAGATCAGATTGTACTACTTGGTCATAGTATTGCTTTCACTTCCTCTGGCTCCGAGGTCAATGATGATTGCAAAGGTCTGATAGCACTTAATGTCACAGTCCCTTCCATGACCTCCATTCTCAGCAGCCCATTTTTGCCTCCTATCACATTTAAGTCACGTGTATGGGTTAATGAAGCAGCGGATATATTGGGAGTTCGTGTGTGTGTGTGTGTGTGTGTCTGTGTGTGTGTGTCTGTGTGTGTGTGTCTGTGTGTGTGTGTGTGTGTGTGTGTGACTCTGAGAGGACCATGTATGAAGACGCAGCTCTGGGGGCATCAAGGACTGTGAGTGGAGCAGCAGGAGCTTATGGGCAGGCAGGTCTCCGGAAAAGGGAGGCATTTAAAGCAGAATCTGTGGAGCTTCTGGTGGCTCTTTCTCTAAGGTGGGCCTCTAGGGAAGAGAAGGGGCAGCAGAGGCTCAGGGGGGCGCAAGGGAGGGGAGCAAGGAAAGGGCTGTGGGAAACGTGTCAACATTTAAATATCTGCTCATCATTCAAGAAATGTTCGCAGCATGTCTCTTATATCCCCAGCTGTCCTCCTCCTGGGACGCCTGTCATGAGTGGAAAAGCAGCCCCTGAGATAGGACTCTACCACTTCAACCTTCCTCCCCAGGTCCTGAGCCCCTTTTGCCATCCCTTCTACACTGTCACACACAGGTTCAGAGCAGAAATAGCCCTCAGAGCAGCCAATCCCGGACTTCTCAACATTACTTGAAAATGTGGATTCTTTTGGTGAAGGAGCCTGGGTGATGAAATAATCTAGACATGGTCTCCAAAGAAACTACCCACTCAGCTGCCACTCATTCAGTCCCATCTGCCCACTTCCTCCACAGAGGCCATATGACGCGGTGGACATCCTTGAAAACCCTTGAACTGTCTACTTCTTACAGGACCCCACACACTTCCTGGGAGTTGAGACTTCTTAGTAGGATCCCTGAGCCACCTGAGGGCATTGAAAGATGTGTGTCACCTTTTCTTAACTCCACATGGGCCCTGACCCCGTGTGACCTGTGGGCTGTCCCCTCCTCCTGATCTCACCTCTTCTGAGTCAGGCCCTCAGCTTCCTGTGTACATAGATGGCAGAGACACCTACTGCCAGCAGCACCTTGTGGCCAAGGAGCAATGCGGTGAGGAATTCAGTAGACATTGCTGGGCCTGTAAATAAGGGACAGGAGGAGCCATTAGAGGGGCCACTAGTTGTAAGACTTTGGTTCACACAGACTTCAGGTGATTCTCAGTGATAGTTGTTCTGTAGTTTAATTGTATTCTTGTTGTGGTCATGAGGGTAGGTAAGCACAGATTTTACCTACTCTGCTATCTTGACCAGATCTCTGTCACTCCTTGGCCTTAGGCTCCCATTCTGTACATAGGGGGTTGGGCTGGATGGTTTAAAGGTCCTCTGTGTGCTGACATTCCAGGATTCAGTGTCCTGGGCTTCTGGCAGAAAACCCTACATAAGCGTCTTTATTACCTCAGTGGCGTGATCCCTAAGTCACTCACATGGGCATTCTCTTCCCTGGGTGAGAGATACTATGAGATTACCCAATTCTGGTCAGAGGCTTCAGTGACTTTGTGACTCAGTCCCTAAAGTACATGGTGTTTTTTTTTTAAGACAGCCACGGCGAGTGACCTGCCCGTGGGCAACTTCTCCAACCAGGGCTGTCCGAGCAAATACTGGTTCTGTGGCTCTTTGGAATTTCTTCTCAGTGTGATGGTTCTGAAGTTGAGATAAAGAAACACGTTTTCTCCGTCCCTGCTCCGGGTGGATTTCTCCTCCCTGGAGGGAAGAGAACGAAGCTCATGGAAGAGGAGGCTTTGCCTGCTCTGTTCACTGCAGCTGTCACAGCACCCAGAGCAGAGCCGGGCCCACAGCGGGTGCTCAGTGAATGTCAGTAAGGGGCAGCCCGGCCACACTGAGGGGAGCTCTCTCTGGAGGCAGCGGTGAGGTCAGCCCATGACGGGCAAGTCACTCAGACTCTCAGCTCCGTCATCCCTGAAACTGCATGGGATTGGAAAAGACACAGGCTGTGGAGCCAGGCAGGATTCCAGACTTTCCCACCATTTACCAGCTGTGGGGCCTGAGCAAATAGCACAACCTTTCCAGGCGTCAGTGTCCCTGACCTGTAGAAAGGGTGAAACAGACCATGAACCAGATCGTGAAAATAAGCACCCCTTTCTGCACCTGATTCTTACTTGTTCTTCAAAAAATGGAGACCATTCTTATTGTCTTATTGGCACACATCAGGGATGAAGGATCCTGGTCTGTACTCACCAGTCACAGTGAGCCAAGTGCCTGTTCCATACTTAAACTCCACGTTGTCAGTGTCTTGGTTCCAGAGCTTCGCACAGTAGTAGATACTAGCGTCTGCTAGGGTGATGTTACTGATGCGGATGGAAAAGTCCGTGTTGTTTCTCCTTGTGTTGTCTGAAGCATTTGTTACTCGAGGGAGGTGGGTTCCCTCACTTTGCATGAAACTGTAGATTAACTCCCATCCTGTTTCTGTCTGCCTGAGCCACTGGATGGGCCCTATGGGGAGCAGGGAGGTCACGGTGCAGAGCAGAGTGGCCGTCTCTCCGGCTGCGACGGACACCGACCTCTCAGGCTGAATCACCTGCAGCTCCTTCTCACCTGCCACTCCTGGAGGGAAACAAAGCAGGTATTTATTCATCCTTATGTGACCCTGTAGGTTTTGTCAAGTGTTTATCAACAACAGTTTTCACTGACTGAGAACAGACCATGTATGCACGTTTAGTTGAGCACATTGCATGTGTCATTGTGTGGAACCCTCACAATGAGCCTGTAAGTGAGGACCTATTACAAGTGAGGAAACTGAGGCACAGAGAGGCAAAGTGATGTGGCAGAGAGTGGGTATGAGTGCTGAACCTTCTCTCGAGTTGTCACGCTTCCCCAAATATTTCTGACTCTCCACTTGATGGGGTCATGGAGAGTTGCACTTTTGTATCTTTGCATCGGGTGGCATGAGGAGACTTCTTTAGAACACTGAGTTGTGATCAGAGGTGATCAATGTATTTTGTGGGCTAGTGTTTAACTGCAAGAACATCTATGGATCAACTGTTCTCTTCCACAAAGTTCCACATGTTATAATATTGTCTGCTGCATCACCTGGAAACTTGAGTGATAGTGATGTTCAGAGCTCCCAATAAGCAATGAACTTGTCATGTAAATAAGAAGTGAAACATTATTTCAAGTTCCTGAGATTTGCTCCCCTCCCCCAGCATAATCATGTTATATTAAGTTTCTAAGGCTTCTTTAAGAAAATACCAAATCCTAATATCTTAAAACAACAGAAATTTATTATCTCATAGTTCTGGAGGTCAGAATGCAAAATTGGTGTTTCTGGGCTAAATTCATTGTCAGTCAAGCTGCATTCCTTTTACAGCCTCTGGTCCTTGCCTTTCCAAACTCTAGAGGCTGCCCACATGACTTTTCTTATGGTTCCCATCTTCCCATCACTCCAACCTCTTGTTTCCATTGTCACTTGTCCTTCTCTAATTTTGACTTTTCTATTCCTTTTTACAGGGACTCTTGTGATCATATTGTGTCAACCCAATAATTTAGGATAAGCTTTCCATATCAAGAATTGTAACTTGCTCACTTCTCCAGACCTGTTTTGCCATATAAAGTAAAATATTCCCAGTTTCGGGGTGGTAGGATGTGGACCTCTTTGTGGGGGGACTATTGCTCTGTTTACCACACACATCTCTCTTGACTGTTACACAAACCAGTTGCTATAACAAAAAACCTATATATGTAGCAATGTCACAGTATGAATGGAGAGACAACTTATTTGAATTAGAAGAACCATTCTAGCAGTGCACTGGTGAAACAGTTTGCCAAATAAAAGTAGAAATCAATTAAGAAGCTACTTGCAATATTCACAAATACAAAGAAATCAAACAACACACTCAAAAAATTCAATAGTCAGAAAAGAAATCACAAGAGAATTTACAGTATACTTTGAGGCTAATGAGAATTAAAACACAACATAGCAAAACTTATGATGCAGCAAAAGTGTTGGTAGAGGTAACTTTATAGCTGTAAATGCATACATTTAAAAAGGGAAAAGATCATAAACGAATAACTTCACTATATACCTTTAGGAATTAGAAAAAGAAGAGCAGAAGTAAATTCAAAATTTAATGTAGCAGAAGGGAGAATGTAATAAACATTAGTGTACATACAAATAAAAATGAATAAACAACAAATAAAATCAATAAAACCAAGAGAGACTCTTGAAAAACATAAAGACAATTCACTAACAGTAAAATAAAGACAATTTACTCACTAGATTGAGTATGAAAAAGAAAAGAAAAGACACAAATAACTAATATCAGAAAGAAGCAAAGGATATTCCTAACAATGTAACAAAAATAAAAAGGATTATAAGAGAGTACTATGAATAATTACACACCAATAAATTAGGTAACCCAGATAAAACAGACAAATTTCTAGAAACACATAACTTACAAAGACTGAATCAGGATGAAATAGGAAACCTGAATAGACCTGTAACTAGTAAGGATACTGAATCAATAAAAAAAAAAAATCTTCCAACAAAGGAAAGCCCAGGACCACTTGGCTTCACTGGTGAATTCTACCAAACATTTAAAGGAAAACCAACTCCAACTGTCTTCAAACTGTACAAAAAATTTTAATATGAAGGAGGACTTCTTAATTTATTCAGAGTCATTCTGAGGTTCATCCTCAAGCCAGAATTTTCCTGATAACAATACCAGAAAAAAGCACTATAAGAAAACTACAGACCAATATCTCTTATGTACACTGATGTAACAAATCTCAACACATTAGCAAACCAAATTCAACAGCATACTAAAACAATTAATACATTTTTAATTGGGAATTATTCCTGGAATGTAAGGATGATTCAACATACGAAAACCAAACAATATAATATACCATATTAATAGAATCAAGAGAAAAATCACGTGATCATCTCATGTGCTTCAGAAAAAAATCTTGACAAAATTCAAAATTTTTCATGATTAAAACAATCAATAACCTAGTAATAGAAGGAAACTTTTACAAAATGATTAAATTACATATGAAAAACCCACAACTAATATACTTGATGGCAAAAATTTGAATACATTTCCCGTAAGATCATCAACAAGACAAGGTTGCCCACTTTAACCACTAATATTCAACACAATAATAAAGTTTCACAAAAAGCAATTAGAGAAGGAAAATAAATAAAAGACATTCAAATCAGAAGGGAAGAAGGAAAACTATCTCCGTTTGCCCATGACATGATTTATATGTTGCAGCTCTAAAGATCACGCACACACACACACACACACACACACACACACACACACACCCCAAATGCATACAACTCTGTTAGAGCTAAAAATATTTGCAGTCTTGTGGGATACAAATCAACACACAAAACTCAGTTACATTTTATATATTGGTGATGAACAATCCAAAAAGAAAATGAAGCAATCTGGTGCAATGTATAATAGCACCAAAATGTATAAAATGCTTAGGAGTAAATTTAAGCATTTATATAAAAGACTTGTAAACTGAAAAGTATAAAACATTGCTGAAAGAAATTTAAAAACACATAAATAAATGGAAATACATCTTGTGTTCATGGACTGGAAGAATTTATAATCTTACAATGCCAATAGTACCTAAAGCATTACAGATTTAATAACATCCTTATAAAAATCTCAGTGGAATTTTTTGAAGTAATAGAAAAGCTTATTTTGAAGTTCATGTGAAAAATACAGGTACCCCAAATAATAAAACAATCTTGAAAATGGAGAACATAGAGAACTCACTAAAAACTTACTACGAAGCTACATTATATATATATGTATATATATATATATACACACACACACACACACACACAATTTAAGAACTAAAAAACTATTGAAATTATCTGATGGTAACCACTTTGAGCACTTGTAATTGCAGAAGTCAAACATGTGATTTGTATTCAACTTTTGTTATTGGTATGTATTGAGTATTACAATTTTAATACAGTTTTTTCCTTTATATATATAATATATATATATATATATATATATATATATATATATATATATATATATTTTGCACCCTCTGTATATACCTCAATGGAATAGAATAGAAAACCTAGAAATATACCTTCACATATACATGGTCAAATGATTTTCGACAAAGTTGCCAAGGCCATTCACTGGGGAAAGGACAGTGTTTCAACACATGATGCTGGAATAGCCACATGCAAAAGAATGAAGTTGAACCCTTAACTTCCATTTATACAAAAATAAACTCTACATGATAAAAGACCTAAATATAAGAGCTAAAACTACAAAATTATTTATAAACCATAGGTGAAACTCTTCATGAGTTTCTATTTGGCAATGATTTCTTGCCTGTGACAACAGAAGCACAGGCAAAAAAAGAAAAAAAACATGTAAATCAGAGGAGAAGGCAGCTGTGGCACCACACATAAATCCCGTGTTCTCTTCTATTTCTTAGCTTCTCCTCAGAAAGAAAATGTGTGGCTCATCTTTGCAGAATGTGAGCTGGGGAAACCCACCACTTAATACTATTTGTAACTACTGGTGCCTCTCAGGAGGCCACATGCTGTCACAAGGCAGGTCCTTTAGTGACAAGAACGTCAAGTGGTTTGGGTTTTAAGAGTGGAGAAGAAGAAAAGGGCGGGGAAGCTGAACTGCTGCCACAAAAAGGGGTAGAAATATGAATGAAAATTGATGAAGAAGTGGAGAAAACAGAGAAGGAAGAGGGAAGTGGGATCAGAGTGTTCAGAGGAGCAGGGAATTGCAGTCTTTTCCCTGAACTCTGAATTTGCATGTCCAACTGTCCACTCACATTCTTCCAGTATCTCAGAGTTCACATATACAAAACTGAGTTCCTGAATTGCCCCTCAGCCCTCTGTATCTCAGCTGAGCCACCTTTATTCCCCCAGGTGCTCAGGTCCCAAACACCTGGAGTCTTGCTCTCCCACCCAAATCCTATGCATCTGGAAATCCTGTTGCCACCCCTTCAGCCTGCATCTAAAATCTACACCCTTCCC